TGCCCCTTTCTCCGCTTAGCTCCGCTTCCCACGGCGCCTCCATCCCACTGAGGATGAAAGGGGTGGACCCTCAATAGGCAGCTGAGGCTGCAGCCCCTGATCTGATCCACTGCTTCCTGTTCAGTCTAGTCAACCTGGGACATTAGCTCTGCCCGAGAGTTTCTCTGTAAGAGGACATCACACTGAGAGGCAGTGCCCTTACATCACAGCTGTCCCCGGCAGGGGGGTCAGGTCTCCATCCCAGAACAGCTTGAGTAATAGGCAGGGAACCAAGATTTACCCCATTACTGGAACCTGTGGGTACTCGGGGAAAATGGATAAGGCAGGAGACCAGTTTCTAGATCCAGAGCACAGAGTCACAGCAAACCAATGGTGACTTGATGCTGAGGTACCAGTGTCAACATCTAAGACTTCTTTTTGGTTTGTTTTTAATATTTTTTTATTGATTTCAGGGAGGAAGAGAGAGGAAGAGAGAAACATCAATGATGAGAGAGAATCATTGATCTGCTGCTTCCTGCACCCCACTTAATGGGGATTGAGCCCACAACCTAGGCATGTCCCCTTGACCAGAATCAAACCCAGGACCCTTCAGTCCACAGGCCGACACTCTACCCATTGAGCCAATCCAGCTAAGGCAATACCCGATACTTCTTATATCCTCAGAGGATCAAGCCTGGTTCCCAGGTGGCTGTAGGAGCTGGTCAGCCACTCAGGCGATAGAGGGATAGAGCGAGCTGCAGTGGAGATAAAAATGAAGCCGGTTTCACACCAACTCCAAGAGGCCCAAGAGCAACACTACATATGTCCTCAGGTAGCCCATACCCTGGTTCTTTCATTTGACTAGTGATTCGTTTATTTAAAATTCTGAATATGGCATAAAAGATTTCCCTAAGGGAGGCTTTAATTTGTAAATCATTTTGAGCTATAATTGGCATATAACATTATATTTATTTTAGGTGTACAACATAATGATTCAAAATTTATATATATTGCATAACAATCACCACAATAAGTCTAGTTAGCATCCATCCAACATGTCGTTGTAATTTTTTCTTGTGATAAGAACTTTTAATATTCACTCTCTTGGCAACTTTTAACTATATACAATACGGGGTTATTAACTATAATCATATCTCCGGGACTTACTTATTTTATAACTGAAAGTTTGTCCTTTGACACCCTCCACCCAAATCCCCTGGACCCCCACCTCGGGCAGCCACCGATCTTGAAGAAGGTTTTAGAACCAAGCAGGTATGTGCTTGAGTTTGCCTCTGCCACTTTCTGGCCGTTTGATGTTGGGTCAGCCTTTCTGACTTCCTGCTTTATTTTCTGCTAAGAAAGGATTTCAAAGCAGTTCTCGTAATACCATTGTGATGACTGTGATCAGTCTCAGCACATAGAATGGTTTTCCCAAACTTGTCAGCACATGGAATCACGCGGAGAGCTTCAAACAATCAGAGGCCTGTGTCCACCTCCCGGGAGAGGGTTTCGGCAGCATGGCCCGGTGCTGGAATGTCTCAGGGATTCCCAGATGACTCTAATGTTTAGACACGTTTGGCGTCAAGACTGGCATAAAGCCTGAACTATAATGAACATTACATATATGCTAAATGAATGGAAACAATTAGTGCCTGGCCCATAGTAGACCCTCCAGCTGCTTTCCCTTCCCTGACCATCGCCCCTCTGTTGTTACTGAAAAGGCTGAAGACTTAACGTTGGGCTGTGATTCCAGTCGATGCGGCTGTCACTCGTGGGTAGGCACATGTGCAGGTGCAGAAGGCTCTGGAATATCACGTGCTGAGATGCCCTACAGGAGGAGGAGGGGAGAGGGGAGTGACTGCGCTGCCAGGGGCAGCCCACAGAGCTCCTGTTAAGGGAATGTCTAATGAGTTTGCTTTCAAGTGCACTGTATACAGCAAAGCCCCGGAATGCTAATTATAAAGTCCCCTTGGAAACCAGAGCCTAGTTTTGTGCCCTCCCCGGGGCTGATCCTGGCATGAGCCCGAACGCACAAAGGATAAGCCGAAGGCAGAGTTTCAGCTGCTCCTGAGTTCTCTTATTTTTTGGCTTTTATATGCAACATTTGTTGCAGTAAATCCTTTGTTTAGTGTTCCTGGGTCGGCCATCTGAACATATCAAAGTTCCAAAAAGTTGAATATGTGGCTTATTGGTTTCAGTGTCCTTTTATGGCTCTTGGAGAGCGGCTCTGAATTCTGAGAGCCAGGAAGCAATGTAAATCACTCTGCGATTTAGGAGCCAGCATCGTCTCTCCTTTCCACAAACAGGAGGGCTGTAAAGCTGCCGGGCTTCGGATGGGGGAGAAAGGGCTGTCCTTTCACTGACCGGTTGAGTTATTATGTTCTTATGAGTAAAAGCAACACTTTGTGGCTCTCGGTGTCTGGAGCTGAGGGCTGGGATATTGTTTGTTGCCCAAAGCTTATCTTTTATGCTCTTTATGATTCAGAGCAAATTCTCAAATTTCACCTCAGTAATACAGGAGAAACATTTAAGATACTTTTTTTTTTTTTTTTTTTTTAAGGTCAGTCAGTCTCAAGAACTGTGTGATCATTTTCTACTTGACCTGAAAATACTGATGGAGTCAGGCTGGTTTTCCTTAGAAACAAAACCCATCACATATTTACACCTTCAGGAGGTGAGATGTCCAGCCTGCTCTATTTTTAAGATCTGCATTATGAATTGAGAAGAATCTTTTTATACATTTATTTTTCAATTATAGTTGACATACAATATTGCATTAGTTTCAGGTGTACAGCCGGGTGATTAGACATGTATATACGTTACCAAGTGATCGCCCTGATATATCTCATATCCCTCTGGCATAGTTATAACAGTATTATTGACTATACTCCCTATGCTCTATTTTACATCCCCAGGACTATTTTTGTAACTGGCAATTTTTTACTAGGAGAATATCTTTTATTACAAGGTAATTCTACATATAATAGAGATCATATAAGCACTTTGAAAATCATGTGGGGGGTTTTTATTCGTTTGTGTGTTTTTTAACTTAAAAAACCCACAGATTAAAAACCTGACATTGATAGCTTATAATAGTGAGTTGTTTAGGAAAACAAGGATGTGCTACCTCTGTTAATATTTAGCACTATGTAATGTTTCACATATTGAATTTGGTATTGAAAACAGTTGAGCTTAAGCCATGTTTCCATCAGTCTCTTTTAAATTTCTTTCTTTTTTTAATTCAATAAATCTTTATTGTTCAGATTATTACAATTGTTCCTCTTTTTTCCCCCCTAGCTCTCCTAGACCCAGTTCCATCCCCCCCTCTTACCTTACTCCCCACCCACTGTCCTTATCCATAGGTGTATGCTTTTTGTTCAGTCTCTTCCTGTACCTCCACACCCCTTCCCCCTCTCCCCCCGAGAATTGTCAGTTCACTCCCTTTCTGTGGCCCTGATTCTATTATATTCACCACTTTATTCTGTTCATCAGACTTTTTTATTCACTTGATTTTTAGATTCACTTGTTGATAGATTTTTAGATACCCTTGATTTTTAGATTTGTTGTTCAAAGTTTTTATCTTTACCTTTTTCTTCTTCTTCCTCTTCTTAAAGAATACCTTTCAGCATTTCATATAATACTGGTTTGGTGGTGATGAACTCCTTTAGCTTTTTCTTATCTGTGAAGCTCTTTATCTGCCCTTCAATTCTGAATGATAGCTTTGCTAGGTAGAGTAATCTTGGTTGTAGGTTCTTGCTATTCACCATTTTGAATATTTCTTGCCATTTCTGTCTGGCTTGCATAGTTTGCTGAGAAATCAGCCAGCCATGCACTCAGTTGCCAGTCTTCTCCGTGCACGTCTCAGTACCTCTGTCTCCTGCAGCTCCTCTGAGTCTCCGTGTGCTTTTCTCTTTCCTTCTAGTTGTAGAATTTCCACTCAGCCAGCCTTCCTGTGGTCCTGGAGTATGTCCATTTTGTCTTTTAGTTGTAGTTTTGAAATTGTTGTGCAAGGAAGCAGTTTAGGTGTTTAATCTATGCTTCCATCTTGGTTTCTCTCCCAAATCTCTTACTTGTTTTATCCAAAAAAAATTGGTCAGTCTTAAGAACTGTGACCATTGGAAAAAAAGAATTCTTTATCTTAGGATACAGAGCTCTATTTCAGAATTTAAAAGTAAATTGTATATATGACAGCTTTATTGTATGTGTGTTTCTCTCCTTCCAGTTTCAAGCCACAGTCCTCTCAAAATGATAAAACAAATCCCTCTCTTGTCTATCACCTTTTACTGCCATTTCAATTTTTTAGAACAAGGGTTGCACTTCACATAGCAAAGAAAGTAAGAATAAGCGTAGATATTGCAGCTTTTAGTTGGTTTGTTAAGCATCAGCATTAGAGGAGCTAAATTTTCAGGTGGGTCCTAGTCCCTGACCACCTTCAGGCGCAACAGCATCCAGGTCACACGTGGTCTTTGCATGGGTCAGTGTGAGGCATCATACTAGAAAAAGAGTTCCAAGGAAAGAATTTCAGTATCTCTTTAGTTGCACAAAAAGGTTCAAAAACATCTAATAATCACTGAATACTTTTCAACATTTTCACGCTCTTTGGTGGTGGCAATTCCCAGTATCCCAAAAAAAGGGTATCCTCTTACTAGTTTACCATCTTTTTCTTATGATTCTTCTTTGGCTAAGGCTCAGTTTCCTTCATACTCTGAATTTGGACATGAATTTGTGAGTATGGCTTTGCTTGCCTCTGAGTTAGCAGCGTGAATCGTGGGTGTGGAATTTCTACTGACAGGTCTAGACAGCTGAGTCATGCTCCATGTTCTCAAGGTGAACACTGTCTCAGTCTCAGGTCATCCCAAACAGATCCATGATATACAAGTGTACCTCTGGGGTGCCCTTTGTGAGTCTTGTACCCCAGTTCCTCACTGGCAACATTGGTTATAAGTGACATTAACAAAATCCCAGTGCTGGGCAAGGACATCAGTTTCAACACAGTGCTTTCCATCTTCTCTCTCCCACAGGGTCCAGTGGCCTCAGCCGCAACCATGTTGTCTGCCCTCTCCCCTGGGCCTGGCCTTCCTCCACCTCCTCCTCCTCCACCTCCTCCAGGGCCACCTCCACTTTTTGAGAATGAAGGCAGCAAAGAGCAATCCTCCCCTTCACGCTCAGCTTTATTTGCACAACTAAACCAAGGAGAGGCAATTACTAAAGGTGAGAAATATCGAGAAACATCGGCTCTCACCTGGGAGCTGTTTCCCTGGAGCCCTCAGTGAAGGGTGTGCCATTCCATCCCAATCCCCAACACAGGGAGCTGCTGCTGGGAAGGCAGGACCTGCAGTGTTCTTCATCTCAGGGTAGATGGTCTCAGTGGGTGGACCAAAAAGAACTTGGAGACCCTAGATACTGCACGCTGCCTCAGCACTTCAACCCAGGTGTTATGGCACCATCTACAACCCAGGCATCAAGATCAAGTAAAGTGAAAACAACAAATAATAGCACCCGTGTCCTCAAGCCTTGTACAGCTTGTCAAGGAATCATATCATTGAAGTACTTTCTCCTCACAGTAAACAGTTAATTTTTTTATATCATACAACATTTAATCAAGTCGTGTTGCCAAATGCCTCATGCAAACGTAGTTTTGCCTGGATAATAGGAATTATAGTATAAGTATCCCTATGACTAGGATGGGAGTTAAAAACCCAAAATTCTGAATTTTTCTCTGGCTTCGACTAGCTGCATTTTCTCATTTGGAAAGTACAGGAATCGATCTGTAACTCTAAATTGCTTCTGTACTCTGACATATACTTACTGGCTATTTGGGGAGAATGATTTAGCCATGGGAGAAATAAATCAAGTGCTCCATTTTGGCACCATAGTGTTTTGTTTTGTTTTGTTTTGTTTTTGCAGAACTTTTACCTATCGTCTTATCTTCTTAAAGAAGAGGTTCCTCAAACTGAAAAATGCTTACAGTGTTTCCATTAATTCTAACTTATACCCATCTCAAATTCTGCATATTAACTAGACCGCTATGAAAGCAGCATTAACAAAAATTCTTGTGCTGTTTACACCACGTCCATCTAAGAAGGCAGGGACATTTCCCTTTGCATAACCTATAAAGAACTGTGTCTCTGTGTTGCCTTCCCAGGGCTTAGGCATGTCACAGATTCGCAGAAGACATACAAGAATCCCAGCCTGCGAACTCAAGGAGGACAAACTCCATCTCCCACCAAAAGCCACTCTCCGGGCCCCAAGGCTTCCCAGTCACGTCCTCTTCAGAAACATGCGCCTGTGTTCGAGCTGGAAGGGAAGAAGTGGAGAGTGGTGAGTGACGCCTGTAGCCTTTATTGCTGACGCGATCTGACGAAAGGCAAAACTGTACCAAAACCTTAAAGATTTCCAAGTGAAATGGCTACACTAGTTACCAGGGCCTTTTTGGGTGCCTCCATGAACATTTTTTATTTATCATTATTTTCCATTTATTCTTTCCTCCAACTTTTAAAGTTGCTTTTAATTGTGGTAAAATACCATAATACAAAATTTACCTAACATTTACCTAACATTTAAAATTTACCTAACATTTAAAATTTACCTAACATTTAAGTGAACAGTTCCATGGCATTACGTGCATACTTTGTGCCACCATCACCGCCATCCATCCACAGAACTCTTTTCATCCTTAAAACAGAAACTCTATACCCCTTAAACACGAAACCCCACCCCCACCCCCACCTCAGCTCCTGGTAGCCACCACTCTGCTTTCTGTCTCTATGAGTCTGACCACACTCCATAAACTGTTCATCTGCGCACCGTTCTGATGGGGTAGAATGTTTCATTCTACCCCATTTGTGGTGGTGCTGCTATAACCTACTGCTTCACCTGCCGCTTCCACCACGTGAGCAGGATAAAGACACTTTGAACGAAGCTAGTGCCCCCCTGCCAATCCCAGGGGCTTCCCTAAAAATTGAAATTTGTCCAACTCGTACTGGACACAGCAGATTTTGCTGCAGCGTCATTAAATACAGACTCAGCATCCAGACTCAACATAAAGCTCTCCCATCCCTGCTCCAGCCCCTACCCCTTAACCAGGGTGCTTGATACCTGACTGTTTGCAAAATGGCACCAACCCCCCTTCCAACCAGTGGTTCCATCTGATCCCAATGCTGCAATGACAAAGTGAGACCGGTAGTTTAGTCTGTAAGAAAAGGGTCCTAAAAGAAAGAACATATTAAAAAGCTGTAGTGAATTAATGCTGAGCTCCATAGTAATTTCAGTATGCAATGGGTTCCATTTATCTACACATCCTTCCATTTAATGTTTGCATATGTTTTAATCCTAGGAGTACCAAGAGGACAGGAGTGACCTTGTGATCTCAGAGACTGAACTGAAACAAGTGGCTTACATTTTCAAGTGCGACAAGTCTACCCTACAGATAAAAGGGAAAATAAATTCCATTACAATCGGTAGGGCAGAACTACGGCTCCATAATTACCGTGATAAGTTGCTTGTGTAAATATGATGTGTATATTTAGTGGAGTGTTTTTTTCCTAGACAACTGTAAGAAGTTTGGCCTGGTGTTTGACAATGTGGTGGGCATTGTGGAAGTGATCAACTCTAAGGATATTCAAATGCAGGTAAGTGCCTTTTAATCGTGCTGTGCCCCCCAGCATGGCTTTGTGCAGACCATTCAGTGCATGCCAGGGGCCCTTCCTGTCTGCCTAGAACACTCCTGTTCCCTTTCCCTTTAGACACAGCTCTATCATCCCCTCCCTCTGAAGCCCTCTCTTACTTCCTAGGTAGTGTTGATTCACCATTTTGAATCTATTAGTGCACAATTCTATTGTGCACTCCAAATACTGGTTTACCATCTCTATTTCAAAAGTAGCTCATTAATCTTTACAGCCCCAGAATTTGCAAAGTACCTGCACATAGTAGGTGTCCAATAAATGTTTGATGAGTAAGAGATTTAAATTAATCAAGTAATGAATGAACAAAAATACCAAGAAATTCTTCCAGCATAATGACACCCTGAAGACAATTTTTCCCCTCAGGAAAAAATTGATTCTGAGGAAAAACAGGGCCGGCGGAGAGGGGTGTTTCTGAAGAGTCAATGAGATGAGATATACAACCTGGAAAATAGGATTGAAGTTGAATTTGCAAAACAGGAGAAAATCTGCATCACTTTAATAATTTTGATTTAGTCGAATTTATACTATGCAAAAAGTTAAAGGACTTCTTTCCTTTAACCAAGTAACTTTTTTCTTTGATTACACGTTTTTCATGTTGCTAATTACCCTTTATTATCTGATGCTTCATAATAATGTTTATTAAAATTGTGTTCTAGTTTTATAGTTTTCTCTTGTTCAAACCGTAAAGAAAATGACAAATGAATCTAACTACATTAAATTCAAAATTATATAATAGAAAACATCAGACACAAAGCTGAAAGACAAGCCATGGATGGAAAAATGACACTTGTAGATAATCAAAAAGGATTGTAACCAGAATTTATAAAGAACTTAACACAAATCATTAAGAAAAAGAACAATAGCCCGATAGAAAAATGGGCAAAGACTATTAGGCAATCCAGAGAAGAAAAAAACTGAATTTTTTATAAATATTTGAAAATATTCATGACCCACCTAATAGAAATAGGAATACAATTTAATACTATAATTACATATATCTTTCCACACTCAAAAGTTTTGCATTCAGGCTGTCCTTACTTTACAAGGGACATATTAGCTGAAACTCATGTATATCACAACTGTGCAGCTTAAGAACTGCTGTATACTAAAGTCTCATGGTACAAAGGTTGTTAAAGAAGTGCAACAATGGGACCTCTGATACCTTGGTGTTAGGAAAATAAATCTATTCCACTCACTGTGCAGAGTAAATTGGCACCATTTAATAAAATCAGACATTCATTGCCTGTGACCGAGCAATTTCACTCTTAGGTCTGTACACTAAAGAAGCTCTAGTACATATGTTTATGAGATGAGTAAAAATGTTTATTGCAGTGTCAGGCATAGCAATAAAAAAACAATTTAAGTGTCCACCAACTGGTAAGTGAATAAATAAATTCCACTAATAGAATATTGTACAGTAGTTAAAATGTATGAACTACAGTTAAAAGTATAGAAACATAAATCTCAAAAGCAACACTGAGCAATAAATGCAAGTTATAGAATCAGACGTTGGCAATGTGCCCCTTCATGTAAAGATTGGAAACATGCAAAGCAATATGCACATGTTCATTGTGCTTATGAGGACTCAAGGTCACTTTACCCAAGGGACAGACACAGAAGGTTGTATAAACGCAGAGTTGAGAAGAGTAGTTACATCTGGGGAGAGAAAAAGATTGGTGAATGAGGTGGTTGGTGGTAATCTTCAAAGATATTGTAAGATTACAGTCCTAAAAAAAGACAAGTAAGCCAAATGCTCCACTCTGACAAAGCTGTTTGACAGGCATATCTGTATTTGTATATTTTTATAAGATTCCTTCTATGTTTGAAATATATCATAATATTTTAAGGATATGGTCAGGATTTCTAAAAATAATGTGGAAGGGTAAGTCATGTCATCTATAATTCGGAGACAAGAGAGATTTTACTGAATACTAACTGAACTTTTGAGTGTTCAAACCAAGTGAATGTCATTATCTATTTAATACATTGTTTTAAAAGGGCCTGGAACAAGAGAGACAGAAAGCAGATTAGTGGTTGCCTGGGGTAAGGACAGGGATTGACCGTAAATGGGCACCAGGGTTATCTGGGAGATGATAAAATGGCCTAAAACTGAATGGAAGTGATGGTTGCACTGCTCTGTAAATTCACAAAATATAATTAAATTGTACACTGAAAGTAGGTGAATGTTATATTTGCAGGTTTTACCTCAATACCGCTGTTAAAAAGATTGAAAGGGAGAAAAGGGCACAGACCAAAATTAATATTTGATTTCAGCAATTCTGGCCATGGCAAACTATCCCAGAAAAGAGTGAATGTTATGAGAGAAGAGACTAGGGGATTCCATCTAATTTTGGAAATTTTTATGAAGAAATAAATTTTTGAAAAGCAAAACTAATCCAGAAACATGTATTAAATGCTGGAGCACTGGCCTGGGCAAGGTCACATGTCACCTGCCACTCAGCAGAGGAGCTACTCTTTGGCCCAGTTCTGATAAGAAACAATCTCTGTTCTCGAAGTGTTCACAGCCTACCAGGGGGAAGGGCATGTATATGATCTACTCGATGCAGTATCGACCAAAATGCTGTGGAAATGACAATTCCTACCACATCAGGGCCATTTCTTAAATTCTACTTTGCTTTTTAGATTTGCAGGGTGTTTCAGAACGTTTAACATAATATAACAATATATAAATACATTATATTAGCGTAATGTGCTGGCCTCAATCGGTCTCATAAACAAATCACCTAAGACTCAATGACAATTTATTCTTTTACTATTCTTACAGTCCTGGTCAGTATGTATATGCTCTCCATCATTATGAAATAAACAAATATAGATTGCCAAAACATTATTGCTGGCACATTTTTGAAATATAGATATATGTATTATTTTCCATTTTATTTATAGCAAAGCCCTGTGCTTACCTGACCTTGAACTACCTCTGCCTTTTTTTTTTTTTTTTTTTTTTTTTTTTTTTTTTGTACCGGGGCTCAATTCCAAATCAGTGTCCAGTTTCTATGGAGAGAGGAGAAAACAGAGAGGTGTGGTGACCTGGCTAGACTCCCCCTAAGGAATTCTTTACATCACCTGCACCATCAACAGGAGTTGTTCCTTTGGTTTGCAACCCAGTCTTTTCTTCAGGGTGAAAAAGGAGCTGCCTTTATCAGTTCAATTACCATTACAAAAAGGAAAATTATGGAGTTGTAATATGGTCATTTGGGGGAACAGTCTACCCCTATGGAGATTTAAGGGATGCCTGAAAACTGACTGGCAAAAGAGAAATTTAAGCCTGATCGAAATTTTTATAGCACTTAGATTTTTGTAAACAATACAAAGAATCTCCTCCTCTTGTGTATGGTCCCTTTTACCTATACAATGAATGGCTTGAACTAAGTCTCCAGTTTTCACTCCTGAAATTAATACATTTCAAAATACCTAGACCCTCATTATCTCATTTAAGCTTCGGATTCAGTCCGTGAGATTTTTATCTAGCAAAGGACTTAGATGAAAAGAATTGTAGTGTTTCTTATTTATTCTTATTTAGGTTCAGGAGAAATCTCAATTACAAGAATAATTTCTTTGCTCTTACATGACAATATTAGCACTTGTTTTTATCCAACTTTTACAGAGAGTTGTCAAAACTAAAATTTTAAGCACATAAAGGCAATGCATCTTGTTACTTTTTATCATGAAATCAAATATATGTTTCAAATCCACTAACAGAGTTGTGAGACTTTTTCTCAACACTTAGCTGCTGTTTTCAAATTATCCCTTTATTTTATCTCAGGAAAGAGACCCTGGGGTTTGACAATCCCCTTGTGTGGTCCTTTCATTCTGTCCCCAAATGACACCCACCAATTCCACTTGGAGAGAACCGGCCTCCAGCTCTGGCCCAGCTATTCCTAACGCTTGGTTAGGCCTATGCGTTGTATTTATTTGGGAATATTGTAATTTCTATTTCTTTGCTTAGATTATTCTTTTTTCTATTTCAGGTCATGGGAAGAGTGCCAACCATTTCCATTAATAAGACAGAAGGCTGCCACATATACCTCAGTGAGGATGCATTAGACTGTGAGATAGTGAGTGCCAAGTCATCCGAAATGAATATACTTATCCCTCAGGATGGTGATTATGTAAGTACCTTTCTAAAGACTGTAAGGAATTGCTCTGGAGCCTTCATTGTTAACCTTCTTTGATATTGATTCCATTAGCCTCCAATCTATGAGCTTTATTTGTAGCCTCATTCACAGATAGGAAAGGCATTCCGAGAGTCGCCTTTACATAATTAGCTGCCTAATATAATCCATATCTTTTCCCCTCTTAATTTCCTTGACTACACTCACTCCTAAATTTGTGACTCAAGGCAGTTCACTAATCATTAGCTTAATGGGCTAGCTTTTACCAAACTGTACAGCGTACATCGGAGTTCACATTAGTCAGGAGTAAATATTGTCCTTTGCTATGGCGAAGGCAAGCAGAAATGAGGGAGAAAGGCTTTGGGGAAGAGAGTGGGGAAGGAGGGTGCAGTAACAATAAGTAGATCAAAGTATGCCGTTACTCTAATGTCAGAGGTTCTCAAACTCAGCACAAGAATTCGCTGGGCAGCTTCATGAAAATGCCTGCTCCCAAAGAGCATATGGGAGACTTGGAGCTGGGAGTCTGTGTTTTAATAAGCCAACACTGGTCCCGCAACCCTTCGGAGAAACACTAGCCGGGTGATTTTGCCACCGTTTATTTCCTTTGCCTCCTTTCCCCAACAAAGCAGCCTCTGGCAGACGTGTGCGGATGTCCTCACACATCGCAAAGGAAGTATAAACAAGTGTATCCTCTGCATCCCCGGTGTGGTGGACCTGCCAGTTGTCACTGTTTGGAAGCAAGTACTGCTTCCCACTACTTATTGCTTCTGGGATCATTCCCTCTGACTCTAACCGTGCGAGGGGGCAGTGAAGCAGGGAGGGTGGGAGAAAACATGGCATGGCTCACACACGTTTGGATGTAGAGGCTCCCATCAACCTGTGGGTCAATCAATCAACTATCTACACCGCTGTCAGCACTTGGGTCAATCACCTTAGACAGACAACATGACTGTTCTCGTGTTCTTTCCTTGCAAGACATTCGATCCTGTCCAAAACATCCATGGAGACACTTAGCTCGACCTATATGATAAAAAGCTAATATGCAAATCAACCGAACAGCAGAAAGACCGGTCGCTGTGATACACACTGACCACCAGGGGGAACCGCTCAATTCAGGAGCTGCTCCGTCGTGGTCAGTGCACTCCCAGAGGGGGAGTGCTGTTCAGCCACAAGCCGGGCTTCTGGCTGGTGAGCGCAGCAGTAGTGACAGGAGCCTCTCCTGCTTCCACAGCAGTGCTAAGGATGTCCAACTGATGGCTTCAGGGAGGGGACATAAGCCATCAGTCGGACATCCCCCGCGGGCTACTGAATTTCATGTACTGGGCCTCTAGAAGTAAATATAATCCTGCTCTTCTGCAATATTCAAATCCCAATCCACCTACCTAATTCCATGTGCCTTCACAAGCCAGGCTACTGAGACAAGAAGAGTGATTATTGGCAATATAGCCTCAACACCATATGGGGTCAATAACATGGTAGTATTCTTTATGTATTAATCATGTAAACCAAAAGTAGAAAATGAATGTTATGGGCTATTTGAACTTAGGAACATTTTGGACAGGACCGGGTGCCTGTTAGTATCTCCTTCCCCCAGTTCTCAGTAAGTTCTCCAGCACTACCCAGACACACCTACAGATTGCAGCCATCAGTTCATCATTTAAGTGCAAAAAAACAAGACTCTGCCAGCACTGTGCTAGGTCTATGGCCAACCTAACCCTGAGCTAGAGGAGGCTCCTTGCATGTTCTCCACCTAAAACAACCTACTGAGATACTATAACCACTAAAGAATGGCCCCAGAGAAGCGAGCCAAAATGAGGGAGATGCCTGGCCTTTGCAGTTACTTAAGCAGAAGGCTCAGTCACATGGGGACTGGATCTGCTAAGAAAAGCATTGGGATTTGGATGAACACTCTAGAGTAAGTAAGCTACAATCCATGGGCATGGGACGCAGACTTCTGCATTTATTATCTAAGCTTCTCAGATAATTTCAGAATGGAGCCAAGAGTGGGATCCTCTGATCTGAAGGATGAGTACGGGTCAAAACCTGAGTATGAAAATGCAGTCTTCCCTCTCTTCATCAATTACTTTGTGCCCTCGGCCCTCAGCCCTCTGCATGCATTTTCTTTTTTTTTTAAATATATTTTATTGATTTTATACAGAGAGGAAGGGAGAGAGATAGTTAGAAACATCGATGAGAGAGAGTCATCGATCAGCTGCCTCTTGCACACCCCCTACTGGGGATATGCCCGCAACCAAGGTACATGCCCTTGACCGGAATCGAACCCGGGACCCTTCAGTCCCCAAGCCGACACTCTATCCATTGAGCCAAACCGGTCCCGGCTCTGCATGCATTTTCCAGCTGGAGGTCATAGGAGCAATACAGAAGTCCTGCTGTGGGCACTGTAATCTGGGAGCCATGATTCATCCCAAAAGAAATCTGTCATCATATCACTACCACTTTACACCCCCAAAAATGTTTGGAACAGCTGCAGTGCAGTTATTATCAAAGAGGTGCCTTCACCCCAGAGTATTCTCCATCTGGCCTTATTTATTCATCAAGAAGAGCCCCAGAAGGGGTATTGGCTACACACACACACACACACACACACACACACACACACACACACGGTCATTAAGATTGTGGCTTCTTTGCTTTATCAAAAGACTTTGCATTGCAGGTTTCACTCAAGAAGAATTCATCACTCACTATAGAAGGGACCTTCCCATTTAGATGATAGATAGATAGATAGATAGATAGATAGATAGATAGATAGATAGATAGATAGATAGGTAGATAGCTTCTTCCTGAGGAAATAGTTGGATCCTACATCTAGGAAGATATGGACACATGTGTATCCCACGAAACTTCACATCTCACCAATGGTGAGCACAGGCATCCACTAATCAGACAGTTGTGGTTTCAACAGTGTTGTGCATATGGAAGTCCAGGGAGGCCACAGAAGCCGCAACCAAGGATTACTCCTCCTCACCTTCCTTTGTGATCCTCTTCTGAAATGACTGGAGAACCTTCTGGGCAAAGGAGAGAGTTTAAACTTCTTTGATTTTGGTTATTCTGCGTGTGTGTGTGTGTGTGTGTGTGTGTGTGTGTGGTTCATGTGCATGTATTTCACAATGGGAAGAATAGGGTGGCAGGATGAAGGGTGAGAGATTGGTGCATAACCTCAGGCATATTTTTATATTTCACCAAAGATTAGGCAGATAGCCCAATAGCCCCTGAGAACTTGTTGGAAATGCAGATTGTCATTCTCTTCCCCAGATCTGGCTGTTCTACTTGCTAGTAACATCATCTAGTCAATAGCTTAAATCTCAGGCCTCTGTTTGCTGCAGATGGCTTCTCAACAGTATCTAGCTCACAGGGATGTAAGCAAGTAACTGAGTTCACATATATCCAATGCTTTAAAAATGTCTGGTTCTTGCCCTAACCGGTTTGGCTCAGTGGATAGAGGGTTGGCCTGTGGACTGAAAGATCCCAGGTTCGATTCCGGTCAAGGGCACGTATCTGAGTTGCAGTCACATCCCTAATAGGAGGTATGCAAGAGGCAGCTGATTGATGTTTTTCTCTCATTGATGTTTCTAACTCTATCCCTCTCAACTTCCTCTCTGTAAAAAATCAATAAAATATATTTTTTCTCTAAATGTCTGGTTCTTGTCCGGTTTGGCTCAGTGAACCAAAGGGTCCCCAGGTTTGATTCCAGTCAAGGTCATCTGCCTACATTGCAGGCTTCTCCCCAGCCCAGGTCCTGGTCAAGGCAAATGCAGGAAGCAACCAATCGATGTGTTTCTCTCACATCAATGTAGCAACCAATCGATGTGTTTCTCTCACATCAATTTCTCTCTGTCTCTCTCTTACACTGTTTCTAAAATCAATGGAAAAATATCCTTGGGTGATAACTCAAATATATATATGTATATGGTTCTTAATAAGTCATAGCTTTAATGATGAGGCTGGCAGACAGTCACAAAGCTGATCCATGACTGTGCAAGTCTTCATGTGACATAGAAGTCTTCTCCATGATACAGGCTTCAGTTCCATACAATGATTTTGTTCATCATATAATACTAATCAGCCTTCCATCTGTTTGCAAAAGGAAGCCTTCTTAAATAACTGTTCTCCTTGCCTTTTTCCAGAGAGAATTCCCTATTCCTGAACAATTCAAGACTGCATGGGATGGATCCAAGTTGGTCACTGAACCTGCAGAAATTATGGGCTAACCTCCAGAGAGACCAGACCCCCTGATCTGAATCACCCCTTCCTTTCCACCCCACTCACCCCCAAAAAAAGCAGCATTAAAGACCTAGAAGTTGCAGTAGCTCCTACTGCTTTAGCCATGGCCTCCAACAATTCTGTGCTATAGAAACAGCATCATTTCTGGCATGCTTTCATGGGCATTTTGAAATATTTAACATTTCTTCATGATTTGCCTTTGTGTATGACTTGAGTTCCAATGATAACTTGTGAGCATTATGTATTTAAAGGGGGGAAAAGAATTCTGTTCCCTTCATATCATTAGCACAATAGCTGATAGGTAAAAATATTGCATGGTTCACTTTTGCACTTATGTTTCATTGTTAGCTGGAAAATAAAACCTTTGAGAATCTAAGATGTACATTTTTACCTTTTAAACAATTTCAACATGATGTAATAGTAGTATGCTCTGAAAATCTGCCTTTTTTTTCTTATTTTTGCCACATGTTCACCTTTATCAGCATGGATACACTGTCAACATGAATACATATTTCAACCCCTGTTTTTACAGAACAAAAGAAAATCCCATAAGAAGGACCCTACCCAGTTTCTTGATCCTTGGGACACCTGTATTCTTTACAGTTACTACATAAAAACCAAAAGTCATTTCTAATGATCTATCTTAAATATTTCCACTTGTTATTTGGAAAACTTTCACTTTTCTGCATAAAGATTTTTATGCCAAAAAAATGATGAGTGGAAGCTGGTATGATACCTTACAATTTTGCACTAAGATCAAGCTCAAATTTTGTTTTCCAATGATGCACCTGTTAAATATCAGATGCCTTGTAAGTGGTGTCTTTAATGTTATATTATAGACCACTTTCTTCTTTTCCACTTGCCAGACTTGCTAATCAGTCTCAAAACTGAACATGAAAAAGCCATAAATGTATTACTTCTTCAAAACCCAAGGAATCGTTTGTTGGTTTGGCTTGCTGCTCCTATTTTGTAGTATTGATAGTACATGCTTTTTCAATATAGTATGATACTCTTTTGTATGTTTTTAGTACATAGCGCTGAAAATCTGCAACTTCTTAGATCACATATACTGAGTTATAGTATAATGCTTGCAGACCAAACACAAGCATATATATTGTGCCTATTACAGCTTTTGGAATACATCGTTTCTGTTTTTTAAAATATCTCTATATCTATATAGAATTTAAATTACTAATGCTCCTGTACCAAGGTTTTGCAATAAAACTTTTGTCCATATAAATAATGTTGTCGCTTTAGTAAATATCTTTTTTTCAACTGTAAACTTATTCTTAAATAAAGTAAAATTCTAATTGTTTAAATGCTGTGATGACTTCTGTTAAGGCTCTTTGTTTCTCCTTTGATTTGCCTCTTGCTCATCTGTCAGATTTAGGAAAGATAGCTGTCTTTCTGGTTGAATTAAAGAATGTGTCCAGCATGCCCTCTCCTTCCCTGAAGAATGGCTTCTCCAAGATACATACCATATAAAGCCATTTGTAGCTGGAAAAGTCAGTCAGGAAATTCTAGAATTGTTTTATAAGTAAAGGTCTCTTCACTGAGAAAACCTCCCTCATAGATCTTTATGTAAACATCCCAAAAAATAAATTTATAAGTATTATATACTAGAGGCCGGTTGCACGGATTCGTGCACAGGTGGGGTCCCTTGGCGTGGCCTGTGGGGATCAGGATGAAACCAGCAGTCCAACATCCCCCGTGGGGTGTAGTAGTACTGAAGCCGCAGGCAGCTGGGGAGGAGCCCGAGTCCAGGCTGGGCGCCATGCCACTCCTGCTCATCCCAGTCCCGCTGCACCTGCCGCTGCTGCCACTCAGTATAGGCTCAGTGCCTCTCTGCTGCAGTCTCCTCGTGCCCATCCTAAGGCGATACTAGTGTGCCTATGTCTGAGAAGCCGCCACAGACTCACACCCAGTCAGTCCCAATGCTGGTCCTGATCCCAGTCCTGCTCTGGATGGGGGAGGGACACGCAGAGGGAGTGTCCACGGGAGATTCTCATCCACCACAGCTGTGCTCGCCAGCCATAAGCCTGGCGTCTGGTACCCGTTGGTCAGCTTAGTGGTGCTGCCCACCAGGAGGCAGCTCCTGCATTGAGCGTATGCCCCTTGGCAGTCAGTGCACATCATAGCGACCAGTCGAACAGGTGAACAGTCACTTAAGCTTTTATATATAGATAGATATTGTATGTTTTAATGTATAATATAAATATAAATAACTTTTATAATCAATTTACAAATAAACTTCTGGAGGAAAAATTTAACTGGGAAGAAAAAAACTCTAAAAAGAACATGCTACATCTATATACATAAAAGCCTAAGCAACTGATTGATCTAATGGCCAAATGACCAGTCGACAGGTAGCTCAATGCAGGAGCGCCCCCTGGTGATCAGTGCACTCCCATGCTGGTCAACCTCCTGCAGTCCCCCTCCCCCCCACACACACACCACAGCCAACTTCCCACAGTCCCTTCCCACAGCCAGCCAGCCCCGATTGGCCCCTATTGGCCCCTATTGGGACTGGGCGAGACAGCCCCTATCTGCCCTGATCACCAGCCATGCTGAGGGACCCCACCTGTGCACAAATTCATGCACCAAGCATCTAGTTATTAAATAAAATAGCACTCACCAGAGTTAAAAAAGGAAGAAAAGGAGGGAGGAAGGGAAGGAAGAAGGGAAGGAGGAAGGGAGGGAGGAGGGAGAGAGAGGTCGATACTTAGTAGAATTGCATGTCATATAAATTCACAAAATATCAAAGCTAGAATAAATGTCAGTAAAAATAATTAAGTGCAAGGATCTGTTTACTTTATTATATTACTAAGTATCATTTTATAGGATCAAAATGGTTTTTTAAATAAGCCAAAAGAACCTTTGTTTTCTTTAAAAATCTTTCTTTGATAATACTGACTCCATTAGATAATCTGCTTCTTACTGATAATCTTCCTTTCACAGCAAGATATCTTAAAGTGAGTAGTTGGTACTAACCACTTCTTATTTATATAAATTCTTTCTAGAACTAGTAGGAAATACATGTAGTTTTAGTCATTCACTTTCACTTATTGAAAATGTCTACCTCAACTTCTTAAAATCTAGATTAATTTATCTAAGGAATCCCCTCATTTTAAAAATGGAAAGGCTAAGGTTCTGGGCATTAGACATTTGAAATTTGACATTAGACAAGCAACCAGTTAGAGGTGAAGCAAGGACTAGAACACACACACACCTTCTTATAACTACTGTAATTTGGCTTCTCCTATAACCACATTTCTAAAACTCTCAAAAGTCACTGAATCCCATTTTATCTCATTCCTCATCCATCAAGAGTCTTGATGTTGCCCTTTTCTTATTAAACTCCTTTTGACTTTGATATACAATAAACTTCTCTGCCTTCTCTCCTTTCTGCTTTTCCCCCTCTCAAATGTTCATTAACTTATCAGCTCAATGTAGATGACTCCCAAATCCACATCCCCAATTCGAGCCCATCTCTCCAAATTCTGTTTTGTTTTTGTTTTTATTTTTGTTTTTAGTTTTTGGGGTTTTTTTTAAAGGTTAATGAGATGTATTCATTTATTTATTTATTTTTAATATATTTTATTGATTTTTTTACAGAGAGGAAAGAAGAAATAGAGTTAAAAACATCGATGAGAGAGAAACATCTATCAGCTGCCTCCTGCACTCCCCCTACTGGTAATGTGCCCGCAACCAAGGTACATGCCCTTGACTGAAATCGAACCTGGGACTCTTAAGTCCGCAAGCCAATGCTCTATCCACTGAGCCAATCTGGCTAGGGCATCTCTCCAAATTCTTAACTCCAAGTGTCCACAGAGTATTCTTGCCCATCCTTACTTTATTGAACACCTTTCTAATTAGTCAGTTCTCATCACAGATTTCAAACCAGACATTTCTGGTAGATATGGGTCTTGAGTCTTTTCCATTGTCTCTGATACAAATCCTTAGGAAGTATTTTATAAGTTTAATATATCAAAAATAACTTTAATTAATCATGTTCATTTCAAAAGAATTATTTTATTTTTAAAATTTATTTTTGTTGTTGAAAGCATTACAGATGTTCCTTTTGTGTTTTTTTCCCATTGACCTTCTCTACCCTGTACCCACCCATCCCAAGCCTTCACCACACTGTTATCTGTGTCCATTGCTCTACTTATCCTATATAATAAAGAGGTAATATGCAAATTGACCATTACTCCAACACACAAGATGGCCACCTCTGTGTGGACACAAGATGGCTGCCACAAAATGGCCTGCAGGGGAGGGTAGTTGGGGGCAACCAGACCTTCAGGGGAGGACAGTTATGGATGACCAGGCTGGCAGGGAAGGGCAGTTAGGGGTGACCAAGCTGGCAGGAGAGGGCAGTGGGGGCAATCAGGCAGGCAGGGGAGCAATTAGGCATCATTCAGGCTGGCAGGGGAGTGGTTAGGGGGTAATCAGACTGGCAGGCAGAAGCAGTTAGGGGCAATCAGGTAGGCAGGCAGGTAAGTGGTTGGGAAGCAGCAGTCCCGGATTGTTAGAGGGATTGGAGAGGGTGCAGGCTGGGCTGTGGGACACACCCCCTCCCCATGCACAAATTTTGTGCACTGGGCCTCAATTTTGTTAATTAAGACTATTCTAGTATGCACACAAGTTCCCTGTATAATCTCTCCCCACCCACCCACTCCTGCTTTCTCTTTGAATTATTGTAAACTATTTGCACTTTCTGTACCACTTCAGATACAAATGCAATTTTAAGGGCTTAGTTGTTTCAACTGAGATAAGCTGATTTAACTCTTTCAAAGTTTTCTTTTGCAAATTTAACCATTTCAATGTTTCAGTACATGATGAAGCTTATACCTGTGCTGCAAATGGAACGTAAGGCAGCTCAAATTAACCAGTGATGATTCATCCAGATTTCTGCAAATGGTTTGTGTTCCTCAACTGTTTTTGTAATAACTTGGCAAAGAATAGGCAATTAATAAAGGGTAAT